CGACAATATTTATGAGAATGAGAAATTAAATGATGAGTTGAAATTAGCTTTAATAGTAGAAGACATAGATGGAGTTTATTTGATATACTACCTCCGTCCTAAAAAATTCTTCTCACTTACCTTTTTGAGATGTCCCAAAAAATTCTTCTCATTTCCCTTTTTGGAAAGGTTTGTGTGGTGAACTTTTTAGTTTGAAAATATCAATTTGTATTTTTAAATTCTTCTCCTATATTAAGTGTGATTTAAAATGTAGTTTTATTAGTAAATAAAAATGTAAAATTTTAAAATAAATGAGAAATTTATATCAATTAGTTTTTCATCGTTATATCTTATGTTTAAAACACACAGACATTTTCATCGCATATTTTTCAACATAAACTATTGTTTTATTGGGTATCCTATAAGGAAAACTAATCATTGTACTGTTATTAATAATACGTAGTACTAAATATATATAATACTCATTTTTTTTGAAAATTCAATTTATTCTTATATATGTTTTTTTTAAATAACTGTTATTATTAAAAGCAACTTAGTATTGTAGAATAGAAAAATTATATTGTGCATATGAATGACACTGTAAAAATATGAAATAAAATTAGTTAAGTTACTTTTTCAAGAAAAATTATATAGAGTATATTAGAATTAAACTAATAGTTCTCACATATTATTGATCGTCCGTGCATCGCACGAACTTGACATATAGTATTAGTATATAAAGTGAAAGGAATATGAATTATACAAAGCATTTCAAATATACATAGTTTTTTGGAACAAATTATATAAAATATTTCGAAATAACGAATGAAAGTCTTACAAATTAGGCATGGTTTTCTGTAACCAATTTGATAAAACATTATAAAATATAGAATGAAATCAAATATTATAAAACATTCCAAATATACACATGCTCTCTAAATGGAATGAATATATTATTTGTAGTTTATTCGGAAATTGATGCTCCATAATAGAGTAATATTCCAGTCAGGATATCCTGACAGGAATCGCCGGCCATCCGGCCGCTACGATTTGAGACGGTTTGCAGTGATTTTTTTTAATAAAATTTTGTAAGCATATTTTATATAAAGTTTAGATTATATCCACAAACTTTCAGATTAAAATTCGATTGGGAAGCCAATTAAAAAATTATTGGAAAATACTACGCCAAAATATTTATATATAAAATACAGTATTTTTCAATAGTTTATTTAACTGACTTCTGAATCGAATTTTAAGATGAAATTTTGTGGACCTAATCTAAACCTCATGAAAAATGCTCAAAAACATTCAAGATCATAAAAAAACCACCAAGACCATCCTCAAATCGTGGCGGCTAGACGGCGTTCTACTCCGGAATTCCGGGGGTGAACTTTTCTCCTCCGTAATATATATAAATACTATGAATTTAGAACTAAATTGCAATTAATATAATGAATATTCTCTATTTGGACTCAATAGTAATCAATTGAGTAAATACTATGAATTTAGGACTTAATTGCAATTAATGCCTATTCACTAATTGGACTCAATAACAATTAATTGAAAATTCAATTTTAATTAGAAGATTGTACTTTATTATTAAGTAAGTAGATAGATATTAAAGCTCAATTTAAAAGAGTGATTGCTTTTACACATGTATAAAAAATGTAACTAACAAGATAATGAAATTAGAAAACTATGAACATCACCCAAAAAAAAAACTGTGCAGTTTTTTATTATTATATCACTACTAGTTACTTTCCATGTGACTACGCTGATCTTATCTGATCTATTTAAATTTGATTTGATATATCTGAGAGTGAAATCATTCGAATTAAGAACATTCTATTAATTTTTGTTACAAGTATTTTTCTAGTATTTCAACCAGAGAATTCTGATGTTCTTGTTGACCGACAAATGAGATTGGTGAAAAAGCACTAATTAAAACTACATTAGTCCCAACTTAAATTTCTTGTTTAAATATAATGGGTATACAACATAATGAGGTGATTGATGACAAATATGATGTTATATGTATATTACTTTTAATATTTGATGATTAATATATCATTCAAGAGTGTTAATTATTTTCTAGAATAAATATGAGAAGCTTTGGCAAAGCTAGGTCGACTAAAAAGGCACGAAGAATAGATGAGTTTTTGAAGATGCTAAACGGGTTCTACATAATGGACCCCTAATTTATGGAATTGTAAACCATGCAACCGGATGTACGGTGCGAGGCGTACAGACGGTGGCAGTTTTGTAATTTTGGTGAAAAACACGGCTTCTCGTGAATGAGCATTAATGCAATTTTGGTGAGCATCAATTATTTTCTTTTGAGTACAAGGAGCCTAAGAATGAGCATTAGTGTTCTCTACTTCATATCTTCTAATTCACTTTCTTTTTATTATTTTTCTTTTATAAAAAGTTTTTAAATTATGAGCCCGTTTGGTGAGTCTGTTTTTTCGCTTATCAGACATCTTTTTCACCAAATACGTAACTTTTGACTTCACGCGCTGAATTGTGTAGTAATAAGAAAAAGTAAGGTTGAAGTCACTTCTTTTGCTGTATTGCTGAAGTTACTGTAGATGATCATTTGAACTATTTTCATATAATTTTATTATTATTTTAAATATAATATTTTCATAAATCAACAGAATCAAGAACTTCATAAATTTCAGCAAAATCAGCCGATTCAGCTGATTTCAGCGTTACCAAACAAGCTCTATGTCTATAATCAATTCCAATTAATTTCAATATGTGAATCTAATGTAGTATGATACATTTAAAATGTGCAACATTTTAAAATGAGCATAAAGCGATACCAAATATAATGAGCATATATAAGTAATATAACTTACAAAATGAGTATCAAAAAATTAAAAAGATCATTTGTGCATGCTCATTCATTTTGGGCTTATACCCATTTGAGTTTAATTTAATATAAAACTCATTTCTAATGTATTCAATATTCATTTGTTCATGATCATTCCTTTTAGGCGTATACTCATTTGAGTTTAATATAAAGTTCATTTGGAATCAATAGCAACAAGGATTCCTTAGCAACAAATTAGACTCCTCTCAAACAGCAAAATTACGTAGACGACAGAGAAAAAAGAAAAGAGTGGAAAGAAAAAAGAGAGGGACGAGAGGTAACCAAGCCGATGGAGCTGCTGCGTTTGTGCCAGAGGAGAATGGGAGAGTGGTGAGTGACGGCGACGAGAAGGGAGCTTGAGGAGAAGGGGACGAGTGATGAGCGGTGGCGACAAGCTGGAGGAGGAGAGGGTGAGTGGTGAGCCGTGGCAACGAATGAACAGTATACCTGGTGCGAAGTTAGATCGAAGAAGCGAAGCCAGATTGGAAGAAGCGCGCACAAGCCGAGGAGGAAGGAGAAGACCGACTGCATCGTGCGCACGGTACAACCGACTGTATGAAATATTTTACCCCCAATTTATGGACTCTAATTTTTTAAGAATTTATTAATAATATATAGTACTATTATATACAACCTCGATCCCATTTTGATGATCTAGTTTGTGATTCACTTGGTCAACACAAAATCACTCTTAGAGGTCATTTGGTAACACTGTTTTTCGGCTTATCAAGTTTATCAGTCAGTTTTTTCACCAGTCACGAAACTTTTGTTTTCGTGCGCTGAATTGTGTAATAATAAGAAAAAGTATGGTTGAAGTTACTTTTCTGGCGGTATTAGTTGAAGTTACTTTAGATGATCACTTAGGCATGGATCCGGGCCAGGTCGGGCCCACGCCGGGCCTAGGCCTGGTCGGGCCTTTTGTGATTGGGGGAAGGCCCGGGACCGGCCCGGGTTGCCACCGGGTCCGGTTCGGGCCAGGCTGGGCCTCGGGCTGGGTTGTAATTTTTTCTTTCCTAACTACCCCCTGACCCCCCGGACCCCCCACCCCTCAAACCCCTCAACCCGGGCCCGGCCGGGCCGGCTCCCCATTTACGCAGCCCGCCACCGCTTAAGCCCTCAAACCGGGTCTAGGACCAATTTTGGGCCCGAAGGGCCGGGCCGGGTGGCCCGAACCGGGTCCAAGACTATGATCACTTTAGCTATTTTTACATATAATTTTTTCTTCATTCAATTAATAAAATATGTTTTAAAAATATTTTTTTTCTTAAATCAGTAGAATCAACCAATGCTGCCACCCAGCCTCAGTTTCATAAATTTCAGCAGAATCAGCCGAATCAGCCGATTTCCGTGTTACCAAACAGGCTCTTAATCTCTTACTTTATATGATAGTATATCTAACTTTTATCAAATTTAATTTTTCTTTCCGTGAATTTGTAAATGTTTTGATGTAATTTCTAAATATGTATGTTTTTACTAAAGTAATTTGAGTATGGACAACAATTCGTTTGTTTTATCGTCGGTCAAACCTCCCTAAACCGCTATCAGACCATCAAATTTGGACGAAGGGAGTATTAAAGAAGAAAAATGTAGATACATCATTTGTTTCATTGTTCTTTTACTCAAATTGCTTATTTTTTTTAATGTAAGACACAAATAGCTTAAAATAATGAGTTGCGTTGTTTCAAATCAAGTAAGTACTATGTAAGTATGTAGAATAATTTTTAGAAATTTTTTAATTCCATTATATAATGAGTGTTCATTTGATTTGAGTATAAATGCTTAGTTTTAATAAATTATTAGTTTCTTTATATTATTGTGATGTATCGATTTTATATGTGGATCTAATTTAGAAGTTGAAGCTGGGTCAGAGGAATTGATAAGTTGAAGTTGTATACAGACAACTCTATCTGCATGCACATACAAGTGTGTTAAATATATACATAAAAACTCGTACAGAAAAACCATGTACACCAAACATTTTTCAAATTTTCAATTATTATTATTATTACTGAAAAGAAAAATTATTACGAGTATTATTATTACAGTAATACTCTGTATTACATTTGATGTTGTATGAGAGACAAAAAGGATGGTTTTTACTGTCTGATTTTTGGCGCACGACAGACCAAAAGACGTATAAAGCGCAGCGTATTTCAAACTCTTTCTTCTTCCTCCTCGTGTTTTTGCCAACTCATTTCCAGTTCCGTTACTTCTTCAATTTGTATGCAGAGAGTAAGCCGCGTCATCCTCCTCACTCACTCTATAAGTATCACGCCACCCCCACATATACTTATGATTTCTTTTCTTCCTCCACCGCCCCCCGAGTCGATAAGCATATATCACGCAGCAGATAGATTACAGTCAGATCATCGTACGTTACCGATCAACTTCCCTCCAGTGAAACTTACCTACATTTTGGTCGATTCAAGGTTTCTGTCTATGAATTCTTCTTCTTCTTGGTCCTCCTCAGTCGTTAACCTGTATAACTTCATGATAACTCCTTGTTTTGTCGGTCGAATTTGTTTGGGTTTGTGATGTTTTATGCTTTCTTTAGTTTGAGAGATCACCCCACCATTCCCACTCTGTCAATTACTTGCTTTGGTTTTGTGATTTGAGCAATCCACTTAGATAGATCACTTGCGGATGCTGCATTTTACGTTTTTTATGTAGCAAAGATTGAATCTTTTCTGGGTAGATGGCTATACATCATGAATGAGTTTGTGCTTTTATTCATTTATTTCTAAAAAGATTCATTCTTTGTTCTGGGTATACAGAAAAAATGATCAATTCTCTTATGGATAGATGTCTAAATTTCATTAATGAGTATTTTTTATAAATTTAATTTTTCTTTGTGTTTTCATATAGCAAAATCATACGGGGTTTAGATAATTCTGAATGACTGAATGTGGGTTCATGGCCTTAATACGGGATTTGGTTTTTCAATAACCATATAAGGGACGATGTTTTTTACAATCAAGTCCATCGTTCATCTGGAAAGATTAAGCGTATGAATGTGGAATATGCAACTCTCTTATGAACACTATATATGTACTGCTGCAGAGTTGCTAACAGGGTGTGGTCAGAATAGGTTATTTGTTTCATATAGTAACTAAATACTTTTTTACTACTTCCTAATAGAATGTCTATTTTAATTAGTTCATATTATAGTATAATAGTATGAACTTTTATACCATTTGAGCAATCCACTTAGATAGATCACTCGCGAATGCTGCATTTTATCTCATTAGTTTAAGTGTGAGGCTGGAAACGTGCAGAGATGGATAGAGAGCGATTTCGACCGGGGTTGCCTCCTCTCTGTCATGTTCTCAGCCAATGATCCTCTCAACTCATCATCATCATTGGTAAAAAGATTTTTTCTTTCTTCTGGGTATATAACAAAAGTCAAACCTCTTCTGGGAATATGTCTAAATTTAATGAAAGAGTATTTCTATATAAATTTAATTTTTGTTTGTGTTTTCATATAGAAAAATCATACGGGGTTTAGATAATTCTGAATGTGGGTGCATTGTCTTAAAATGTCAGATTTGTCTTTCAAAGAACGATAATTTTTTATAATCAAGTCCAACGTTCATCTGGAAAGATGCAAAGTATGAATGTGGAGTATGCAACTCTCTTTGAGCATTATATATGTACTGCTGCAGAGCTGCTCTATGGTGTGGTCAGAATAGGTTACTTGTTGCATATAGTAACTAAATGCTTGTACTACTTCCTAATAGAATGTCTGTTTTAATTAGCTCGTACTATAGCATAATACTCCGTAGTACTAACTTTTATACCATTTGTGCAATCCACTTAGATAGATCACTCGCGGATGCTGCATTTTGCGCCTTCTATGTTTGGTATATAGTAAAGAAACTTTTCTGGGTAGATGGTTATACTTCATGACTGAGTTTGTGTTCTTATTCATTTATCTGTCAAAAGATTTTTTCTTTATGCTGGGTATATAGCAAAAGTCAAATCTCTTCTGGGCAGATGTCTACATTTCAAGAATGAGTATTTTTTATAAATTTAAATTTTCTTTGTGTTTACATATAGCTAAATCATACAGGGTTTAGATAATCCTGAATGTGGGTGCATGATCTTAAAATGACAGATTTGGTTTTCCAAGAACCATACAAGGGACGATTTTTTATAATCAATTCCATCATTCATCTGGAAAGATGCAACGTATGAATGTGAAATATGCAACTCTCTTATGAGCACTATATATATACTGCTGCAGAGCTGCTAACAGGGTGTGGTCAGATTAGGTTATTTGCTTCATATAGTAACTAAATACTGTTACTATTTCCTAATAGAATGTCTGTTCTAATTAGTTCATACTATAGTATAATAGTATGAACTTTATACTATTTTAGCAACCCACTTAGATAGATCACTCGCGGATGCTGCAATTTATCTCATTAGTTTAAGTGTGAGGCTGGAAACGTGCAGAGATGGATAGAGAGTGATTTCGACCGGGGTTGCCTCCTCTCTGTCATGTTCTCAGCCAATGATCCTCTCAACTCATCATCATCATTGGTAAAAAGATTTTTTCTTTCTTCTGGGTATATAACAAAAGTCAAATCTCTTCTGGGAATATGTCTAAATTTAATGAAAGAGTATTTCTATATAAATTTAATTTTTGTTTGTGTTTTCATATAGAAAAATCATACGGGGTTTAGATAATTCTGAATGTGGGTGCATGGTCTTAAAATGTCAGATTTGTCTTTCAAAGAACCATATAAGGGATGGTTTTTTATAATCAAGTCCATCGTTCCAGATGCAAAGTATGAATGTGGAAAAGTATGCATTTTCCAGATGCAAAGTATGCAAAGTATGAATGTGGAATGCAACTCTCTTTGAGAATTTTATATTCATTGCTGCAGAGCTGCTCTATGGTGTGGTCAGAATAGGTTACTTGTTGCATATAGTAACTAAATGCTTGCACTACTTCCTAATAGAATGTCTGTTTTAATTAGCTCATACTATAGCATAATACTCCGTAGTACTAACTTTTATACCATTTGAGCAATCCACTTAGATAGATCACTCGCGGATGCTGCATTTTGCGCCTTCATGTTTGGTATATAGCAAAGAAACTTTTCTGGGTAGATGGTTATACTTCATGACTGAGTTTGTGTTCTTATTCATTTATCTGTCAAAAGATTTTTTCTTTCTGCTGGGTATATAGCAAAAGTCAAATCTCTTCTGGGCAGATGTCTACATTTCAAGAATGAGTATTTTTTATAAATATAATTTTTCTTTGTGTTTTCATAAAGCTAAATCATACGGGGTTTAGATAATTCTGAATGTGGGTGCATGGTCTTAAAATGCAGATTTGGTTTTCCAAGAACCATACAAGGGATTTTTTATAATCAATTCCATCATTCATCTGGAAAGATACAACATATGAATGTGAAATATGCAACTCTCTTATTAGCAGTATATATGTACTGCTGCAGAGCTGCTAATAGGGTTAGGTTATTTGCTTCATATAGTAACTAAATACTTTTACTATTTCCTAATAGAATGTCTGTTCTAAATAGTTCATACTATAGTATAATAGTATGAACTTTATACTATTTTAGCAACCCACTTAGATAGATCACTCGCGAATGCTGCAATTTATCTCATTAGTTTAAGTGTGAGGCTGGAAACGTGCAGAGATGAATACAGAGCGATTTCAATCGGGGTTGCCTCCTCTCTGTCATGTTCTCAGCCAATGATCCTCTCAACTCATCATCATCATCACCATTGGTAAAAAGATTTTTTATTTGTACTGGGAATATGTCTAAATTTCATGAATGAGTATTTCTTTATAAATTTAATTTTTTTTCATGTTTTCATATAGCAAAATCATACGGGGTTTAGATAATTCTGAATGTGGGTGCATGGTCTTAAAATGTGAGATTTGTCTTTCAAAGAACCATATAAGGGATGATTTTTTATAATCAAGTCCAACGTTCATCTGGAAAGACGCAAAGTATGAATGTGGAATTTGCAACTCTCTTTGAGCATTATATATGTACTGCTGCAATGCTGCTCTATGGTGTGGTCAAAATAGGTTATTTGTTTCATATATTAACTAAATACTTTTTTACTACTTCCTAATAGAATGTTTGTTCTAAGAAGTTCATAACTTCATTCTAAAGTATAATAGTATGAACTTTTATACTATAGTACACTCTCTAAATCATTTCACTTTTACTACTTCCTAACTTGGAATTTTGTATTCTGTATCTAAATCATTTTACCTTACTCTTGACTTGAAGCTTGGATTTTCTTGATTAGGGTAAATAAAAGAGATTCCCAAAAATGAATGATCAAGAATCAGATTCTGGATTCCTCAGTCTTTTTCATGTAGACAAGTTCTTCTATTATTCCTATGGAGAGAGTGGTCAGCCTGGAGCGGGAAATGGTCAACAACAGTATGCTGATGATGACACAGTTTACACCAATGCTAATGAGGAAATTGCTCATGCGTTTCAAAACCAGCTCTCAATTACAGGAGAATCTGGAGCTTACTTTACCGAAGGGTGTTATCATGGCCAGCAATTCCCCAGTGATGATGGTGTCCAGTCATGGCAGGTTACTGATGACTATCCAGAATCTTCCTTTTTGGTTCAGCCAGGGCATGCTCCATCAAAGGATCATTTTTCTGGTACTGTTAAGTATTCAATCTTTTTATCCATATGCTCCTTACACATATTAGCATTACATATGCCATGATCGATGAACTTTAAATATTCTCAGGAAATAATAACGAAGATCCTGAAAAGTCTATTCGCTTTGGACCATCTTCCTCTAGCCACCCTGCTGAAGACAGACGTTCAGGTGGTGAAGAACCCAACCAGGTGTTGGGAATAAAATATGAATCAGAGTTTGATGCTGATATCGCCAGGCGGCTCAATGAAGTTGATGCTGTTCCAGTGAGTATACATTTTGTTGCAATTATTTTTATGCCAAACTGGAATCGAAACTTATATTGTGCTCCTTTTATGCAGCTCATTCCTAGAATAAATACACATATACCCTCGGACGATGAAACCACATCTCATAAAGAAAGGCTTCTAAATAGGTAATTGCTAGTTTTTGGAAAGGTTTTCAATAAAGAGACATTAATGATGTTTCTTAGACAAACATCATTTTGAAGTTTGAACTGGTTTTTCCTTATTATGTTTAGGTGTAATGACTCTTAAAGCATGAATGCAGAAACAGTGACAGTGTAATTTATGTGCATGTTGAGCAGTTTAGTGCATGTTTAGTGCAAGTACTGTGTGAGCTAATAACCTAAAAACAACCTAGAGATACTAAAAATACCCAATTAGCAGTAATTGGACTGAAACGTTCTTTGCTTTTAAAAGTTATCAAAGTAAAAATTATGCAAACTTCCTGAAAACTTTTCATTTGAAAAACGTTCTTTTTACTTTTTCATGATATATGCATAACTCTTCCTTTGGACATCCTGAAACCTATTTGTTTTTCATTAAGGTTGTTAGTGACTTTATAACATTTGGACAAAGTTCTGTTTACTTACTTTATCTTCTACACTTTCACTATTTCTGTTTTTAGATTGCAACGTTGTGGCCTGGTTGAGAACATAGTCGAAGGGGATGGGAACTGTCAGGTTATCTCCTTCATTGTTCCATTTAGTTGCAGATTTCTTTCCCTTACTGACTTTTAAGTATAACCTATTTTATTTTGGTTTTATCTTCCAGTTCCGTGCTCTATCAGATCAGTTTTATCGGATGCCCGAACATCACAGTTTTGTGAGACAACAAGTTGTTAATCAGGTGATTCTCAGTAGATTTTATTTTTTCGGATACTTAATATCGATTTTCTTGAGCACCTATTCATTGTGATCTTTTATAATTTTCAATTCCATCAGCTTATGAATCACCCAGAGATGTATGATGCATATGTACCAATGGCTTATGGTGATTATCTGAAGAGGATGATGGAGTACTACTCAGTTCTTTTCCCTTGATTTATTTTTCCTGTTTCTTTAGTTTCATACTGTTTTTATTTTAACTAAATAAGGTATGCATTTATTAATTACTATTAACAAATTCAGGGATGGTGAGTGGGGTGATCATGTAACATTGCAGGCTGCTGCTGACTTGGTATAAATCTAGTTCTTTACAAACAAGTTTATATTACATATAATAATATTTGGTAATAACATATGTTGGTGTCACTTTTTACTTGTTGGACAGTATGGTGTGAAGATTGTTGTCATAACATCATACAAGGAGACTTGTTTCATCGAGATCCTTCCAAGGATACAAAAGTCTAATAGAGGTAATTTCCTTTTGATTCTCCTAAATGTGGTACATTTCTAAGTTTCTATATCAGATGATACAATCGAAGAGAAATTTATTATGGAAATTGCATTTATTACATGGAGAGGAATGTTTCTATTTTAACTAACTGGAAAGATCAATAGAACAAATGAAAATAATATCAGATTGTGCATTCCAAGATAGGATTTTGTGCGTAGCTTGCCTTTCTAGTAAGAGAACCAATTTCGAGTAGAGAAGTGATTTGTTTCATCATCTCTGCTTCTATTGATCATATCTTCAAAGAGGAAAATGTGAGTGTGGCCTTAATAGACAGAGCTCTTATTAACATTTTCCCAAAATATCATACTCCGTAAGAGTTTTGTATTAGTAAGACACTAATACTTCAATGATGAACGCAGTGTCACTTTTTATGTTGCGGTGTATACAGTAATGTCTTTTGAAAACTCTGTGCATACTGTGTGCACAGTGTATGTGGATCGTGTGTATATTTTGTGCAATAGATTAAAAGATTTCTTTTCCCAATTTGAGCATCAGTGTAATTTTTCTTATGGTAATGTGACACTTTGACCTTTTATCTCTCCATGCAGTCATATATTTGAGTTTTTGGGCGGAGGTGCACTATAATTCTATATATCCTCATGAAGGAGGTATCGACCACTTGGATCAAGGGATTAATACTTCTGAGGAAGTCAACTCTAGCTACTCTGCTGCAGGTGAGTGTACATAGAAACATTTTTCTTAGTTTCCAGTATGTCAAATTTTATACTTATGAGGAAGTAGTATTTTAAATTTTGTTAGAATGTACTCACTGATCGATTCATTAGTTCCTTCTGTAATCACTAGAAATGATTATTTCAGTTGCAAGTTCTCGTGTGGGAGACTTGAAGGTGAAGAAAAAGAAGTGGTGGAATTTCTTAAAAAAGAAATAGAGGTAAATAGAGATATTATAGAAGGGAGACAGCTTTTGTTTAATGACTTCATTTTTATTTCTCTCTCTCTCTTGATTGGCCTACCACACATAGTAGCATTCTGATATTTTTGGTTCATACTCTTATCCGATGCGAATGTCCTACACTCCTACTATCTTAAGGGTGTAAGTTTTGCATTACTGGGCCCTTTTTGCTGCCTTATATTGCGCTTTTTTATATTTTATTTTTATTCTTAGTGAACAACTATACTAGAATTTAAAGAGTGAATTATTTGTTTCCTATGGCAGTTGTTTACACTGTGCTGCTATATATGTAGGTTGATGTTGTAGATTTCAACTGAAGCTTCTTGGCCCATGTCAGAGATCTTGCTGGTGCAAATCCAATCATATTAGTTGTGACTAAGGTAAAATAAACAAGAATTAAAGGTTGTATTCTACAAATGCTACTGCTATTGCAACTGCTCTTGCTATAAGCACGAGTGTCTCTTTGTACTTGTTTAAGTATAATTAAGTCAGATCTTTGTTTGATAAAGGTGGATCTTCTTCCAAAAGAAACAGACGTTAATTGTATTGGTGATTGGGTTGTTGAGGCAACAACGAAAAAGAAGCGGAAGTAAGCACTAGATATGTCACACACACCTTTATTCTTTGAAGTTTATGATACAAGCAATACAGTTATGTTGGAAGTAGGCCAGTCACTACTACTACTTTGACTTCTATTACAATGACTACTACTACTACTACTACGACCGCTGCTACTACTACTACGAACACAACCGCAGCCACGACCACGACCACTACCACTACTACTATCTTTTCTATTTACTTTTGATAGTTTATCAGGCATGCTAGCTTGAGGATCTACAATTTTCACAGAACAAGCATTTAATGTAGTAGTAATACCTCTTTGTCGATTCCTAAATGTACTTCTACTAGAAAAAAAAAAGAACACTATGATATTACTTATTGAGTTATTGCACATATTTTGTGGTGCTTTAGTGTAATAAATTGTTTACTTGTAGGACATTATATTTACATGCAACTTAAATGGTTCCTTGTGCAGTGTTCTGAGTGTTTATTTAACAAGTTCAAAGTCTTTGGTTGGCATTTGTGGAGTGGTGTCAGAAATCCAAAAACAGAAGAAGGTAAACTTAATGCTATTTTGATTCTCTCATAATATCATGGATTGTTTGAATCCTTGAAGTAGATGTAGTATCAAGCATATTTCCTCAAGTCATCCAGGGTAGCTTTGAATATGTGAAGAAAATATACTGTATCCTCCTAACATCCGACCTGACCTGAAGTGCTTATTACTGTCAAAATAATAGACATTTAACAACTTTACAGATAAAAGGTCCTGACTACCAGAACAAGTTTCCTCCTAACATCTGGCCTGACCTGAAGTGCTTATTACTGACAAAATTATAAACATTTAACCACAACTTTACCTATAAAAGGTCCTGACTACCAGAAAAAGTTTTCGGTGAGATTCTGATACACATGTGGTGTATATGGCATAGTGATGGGACACAAATGGCGCCACTACATGCTCGTTAGCAGGGTGTTTTGTTGGAAGCATGATTCCAACAACAAGTCAGGAAGACAGGAACAAAGAAGTATCGTGAGCGGCATTCTCGCCGTTATTACTATAGTGGGAAAGCTTGAGGATACTTCAGAGACACAGCACATGATCGCTTTGTTGAAGAATCTGATATTTTTTAAGTAACTCTAAAATGTTGGACTAATCTTTTAGAATTGATGTTTTCTGTGTTCCCACCCACAGTACAAGTGCACCTGCGCCCGTGCGTCGTTGCCTAGTTGTTGTAGTCCTCATCGTGTTTCCCTAATTTACAAAATGGACTAATTCCATTAACTTTAAAGTCATGGCTACAGTATTCTGTTCTTAATGTAGTAATCCACATTGTTTAGGTTATAGATAGCTGGTTGTTGGTTGGCATTTCCAGTGATGTTTTTGGGATATGGACATGTTGTATATTTGGAGCATCTCCAAGAGGGGTGTCTAACTGTCTACTTTTTACATTCCCTTGCACGTAGGTCCCATTTTTTATCTCACAATTTTTATGTGTTGGACCTACATGTCTCCATATTCATTTTCTTAAATCACTTTTCATCCATGGATCCTGTGTAAAGTCCATGTGTGGACACTGTCCTTTTAGCCGACCCTGAATTCTTTTTGGGATTAAGACATGGATGTTGTTGTGTCTTTTTCATTTTTCCGTACACATCACTCTCTCTATATTAAATTAAAATAATCATCCTATCTATCTATCTCCTATGCCACGTAGGATGGACCTCACTACCATCTACTTTCCCATTGGTATAAGGCTCATATTACTATTAGCTTCTTTCATTTTTTACTACCTTCTTTTGCTTTCTATATTCCTAAAATTTCAATGAATTGTATTTTTTATATGCACGGCAGAGACGTTTATGTCCTGGTTAGAATGTGTTTTGAGTGGCAAAAGTTGATGGACATCCATTGAGATGATTATATGTTCAAGCTTTTGTCTCTTAACTCTTCTTTCATTTGATTTGGTATTCCACTGGTGGTAGGCAGGTTGAATCTTGAGTTTATTGATTTTGCCAGGGTTCAGCTAATCTTGGAAAATCTGCATTTATCAATGCTCAGTTAAGTAAGTTATTAAGCATCTTAACCTGTTCCGTTTGCTTTTTCTTTATTTGGTATATATTCATGTTTTTTCAAGTATTGAATATTGAACATGAACCAGAGATGATGTCATACAAGGACCCACTGGCTGCTGCTGCAAGGAAATACAGACCAATTCAATCTGCTGTTCCTGGAACGACTTTGGGTCCAATACAGATTGATGCTTTCTTAGGTGCAGGTGTAAGTATTATTTCAATAGGCCAACTTTTGTAACAAATGTTTTCAATAAAACCGTAAAATAGAAAAAGTGTAGTGATTGAAGAATCTGATGTTCTGGTGAACTTTTTTGGGCCAGAGTTATTGTCCAACAATTGCCTAACAAATTCCCTGTTGCAATGGAATAGACTTTTCTTTTACCTGTTTTCTGCAAGTTGTGCATAATTTGGCTGTCCAAATCGTATTTTTTCCTTTTAGAAAATGTACAATACTCCTGGAGTCCATCTCCATCAAAGACAAGCTGCAGTGGTTCATTCAGAGGATCTGCCTGCTCTTGCTCCTCAAAGTCGGCTTCGTGCCTAAGATATTTTATTCTGACCATATTAAAGAATAAAAAAGTACCATGTTTTTCCTTTTCCCTTTTTGCTTAATTCTTTTGTTATTGTGACTAGGACTCTCAGTTGGCTTTAGACAAACTGATCGCTGATCAAGTTAGATCCAGCGGTTTGACTGGATTCTCTATGTTCTGGGGAGGTCTTGTGCGAAAAGATGTTTTGAAGGTTTTGTGTCTAAAGATTAGTAAAATATAATTTTAAAATCAAAATAGTTTTTATTTTATTCCAATTCTGTTTTTATGCAATCTTATTGCAGAGAGTGTTTTTGTGCTTGCTAACTGCCTAACTGATCATTTTTTTCAGGCAGTGTTTTTTCTTCTAATGACTTTCTTTGGTTGTACATTTTCATCCCCCAGGCTCTTCCTGAGACACGGTTAATGTTTTATGGACCAAGGCTGTGCAAATTCACATGGTGCCTAGTGAGGAAGCAGATGAGTTTTACCCTGTAATGTTGAACTCTTTTGGCCTTGACTGTTGAAATTGATGTGAACCACTCTTTCAGTCATGATATATTCCAAGTCTGATCTCACTCTCCTTTCAGTTTTAAAGGTGTTACATTTTATGTTTTAAAATATTGAGATGTAATATTACACCTTGCCTGCGATCTCCCCCACCCAACCCCATACATGTTCTGATATTCAATATAAAGTAAACAGTTCCACCGATTACGTTTTTGTTACCTCTGCTGATACAGTGGTCAGTGGATGATGGTTTGCTCATGCTCTTCTTTGGCATGATGAGGTGCTTTTCTCATTGCAGAGAGAACTTGGAAACCTACTAACACCCCCTACAGGAAAAGAGAAGGCAGATGGCTGGCTGGGACTAGAAACAAAACGTCACATCCAATTGAAGTATGACAATATAGAAAGGTGAGGCCTGAATACTAAATGCTGTGAGTGAATCAATAGTCATAATGAGTAGAAGTTCTTCTTCTGCTACCTTGTCTTTGTTTTTAGACCTGCGTGTGATGTAGCCATATGCCCATATCAGGTCTGGGATGGATTTCTGTTGAACCTGTTGGCATTACGCTCAAATAATCTAATAGTTGGATTGTAGATGAGACTTTTGGGGAGTTAATTTTGGTTGTTCATGTTCCTAAGCCAGTTGAGATATTTGTTCGGCCACCAATGCCGGTAGGGAAAGCAGGAGCAGAATGGTACGAGTATAGGGAGCTAACAGAGACTGAAGCTGAAGTCAGGCCTAAATGGTTCTTCTGACCAAGATCACATTTGCTACCCGGGCCGATCCCGGGCCCACCTATTCAGAACCGGCGGCCCGCCCGTTCCTAGGCCCGGCCCGGACCTGACCCAGCCCGAATCCAGCCGTGGGTAGCAACCGCCTTGAGTTTTTCTGATATTAGACAACCCAAAACGATAATATAAAAAAGTGGAGTTCTTACAAAAGTACGGCCGTGCAGTAGGAGCAGTGCAAGGGTAGACAATTTTGTCTATCTTCTTGTACAAAAGTGTTTTGTGATTGTTTTGAGTTTCCATGTAGAGATTTGAGTTTTTTGCAATTGCTATGCATAATTGTTTCCATGGATTTTTAGGATTATTTTACTTGTATGCCCAAACTTAATACGACATAGGTGTTAAAGTATGCAAACTCATATAACTCTTCTGTCATAACAAATTTTAAAATGCATTCACACTTCTGTCTCAATACATTAATCTTTCAGCATCTGAAATTGACAAAAGATTTTTTATTTTGTAACTACTAATGCTAAATATAATTTTATAGATAAATATGGTAATGAAATAAAGGATAATACTTAAAAGTATTAAGGATGTATACATACTAATATGAATATGATGTATACATAAACTGATAAAAGGCTACCTAAAATTTTGAAGCTCTCTAAAATGCCTACCAAATTTATAGTTAGACATGCATATGATTTTGTAATTGGCTTCACATTCTGATTGATATCACCTGCGTCATTTACTCATTTACCCAAGTCATTGAATAGTAGTCTTCCTTTGTGTATTAAGTACTTGTGTATTATAATGTTTTGCTACAAAATGCAAATGGATGTTACTGTTAATCATTCAATGTTTTTTTAGATGATAAAAATCACTTAAGTTCTGATGGGGGTAGTAGTTGCAATGAAAAACAAAACAAAGTTGATTATGGTGATGTTGAAAATGTTATTCAAGGAAAACGTGAAACACAGGTTTGACACGTGATGACATATTAGAGGTTTAGAATTTGGTTTCTTTGCTGATGGGGTACACCCTCATTGAGGGCAAATTGCCCGACTTATTTTAATTTGTAGAAAGTTTGAGTAGCCATTTTCCAGCTTGTCAACTATTTATTTTTACCAAACACTTCTGAATTATTTAATAATGAATTAAAGCAGCGCTAATCGTACTTTTTTGCAGAAGTAATTATATTTTCCTTTTATGAACAAACAATATTTTACTACATAATAGTTTTCCTTTTTATTCAAGTAAATTAGCAATTTCAGCAACTGCATCAATAATCAATATAAGATAGTTTCAGCAATTTCAGTTTGATAATGAACCGGAGAAGCTGGCTTAGCCTTATTTACATAATTACATGATGAATCGACTGTTGTGGTAGGTCTATTAAGGTTTTAACTGATGACAATCCAAGATACACAATGGAGTGTGCTGATGTGGGGATAAAGGTTCTTCTCTTTGATTATGAAAATTCTTATCCATGGTGCAAGACTGATGTAATTGAAGGGCATCCTTTGGTTACAAAAGTTCATAATTGGGAAGAACTGGAGCAACAATTGGAAGCGTGGATTTTTCCTGTAATCAATGCAAAGTAGGTTAGGTCTGTTTTTAGTGTGAAAGAAAACCAATGAAGTTCAATAGGCTGTTGTTTGATAAAGTTTTTTTCATGTCTGTTTCATTGATTATTCCATCATTATGCCTTTATTGCAATTTTCAATTGGTCAGTTTACAACCCAAACAATAAGTGTTAAGACCCGGGGTTCCATCTTAAAAGGTCAACCTCATAGGAGGAGAGCCTTATGTAGTGTTTTATTGTTTTATAGCTTTCCTGTGTGGGACAAATACTTTAACAGTAAGCTATCGGCTTCTAACGATTATGGTTTGAGTAGGAAACTAAGCAGCAACGTACACACCAAAACATTGAGACCTGTAGGTGAAGAGTGTTAATTATTTAGAGCCTATGGAATCAATGGATAAACAATTCATTTTAAGAGCCTCATATACTGTCCAGTGGGGGATAAACAATTCATTTTAAGGCCATCAGTCTTGATTTCAGGGCACTAATATGATTGAAGAAGCTGTAAGGTGTAAACTTTGGTTTATGCTCAATTCTCAACATTTTTGTTAACTTCGCTTTATATTTGGAGCAAGCCCTTGAACCCTATACAAATAAGCAAATAACATTTCTTGCATGTTCATATCATGTCATGATTAACCAAAACTTGCTTTGGAGAGTATTTTATTTTATTTCACAGCTTACCTTTGACATTAATAAATGGTTCAATTTTAGGGGATCTCATCAACAACCCATTCTCATATTGGTCATATTATATATACGTGTATAGAACACAAAGTTCATTACTGTAAATGTTGTTTATGCTTTACACTCTGGAAGATTGAACATTTTTTCCATTACCTTTATTGTAGTCATATTATACTGCAGTTCAGATTGAGTGAGAAGACATTCCTGGAGAACATGACACTAATGTAGAAGGAAGTGGAGATGATGAAAAAAAATGAACAACATTTACATTGCGGTGATGGTCACACATCAAAAGAGGGTGAAGAAGATTTGAATTATGATAGTGATGGAAAACTAAAGGAGGTTCACAGACCAAAGAACCAGCTGTCACCAGTGGCGGATCCAGAAACTTTACTTATTGGGGGCATAAGTAGAGTGATAGAGAAGACATTTTTGTTAAGGAGACCAGATGTTAGAATACACTAGAGTCAAATGTTTATATTAGAACACAACGGTTAATGATTATACACAAGTATTTGTGCAAGTGCATACTTGTGTATATAGGCTTGAGCCAAAAAATGAACGGGTAAGGAGGTGGAAGCCCCTCTAACCCCTCTATGGCTTGAGACGTGTAATCTCATAGAACTCAAACTTATAATCAATTCCAAGCATGACATTATTCCAAATTATCAATTTGTTAACAAATATATTGTGTATGTGGTATTTTTTATATTATTCAGATGAGAGACGCATTCATGCCTCCATAATTGTAAATGAATGATATAATTAGTCGCATGAAATTCTTTATGGAATTTAGGCATATTCTCGTTCCAAACACCGGTTAAGTAGTCCCGAAATCATCAAAGATTGTATGAGAAAGCAGTGTTTAAATAAGAGACCTAATTAAAATATCAATTGTGACATGAAAATTTAATAATTAAATTTAAAGGTATCTTTTATAGTAAATATGATCGAATAAATTAAGTAGGCAATTAGAACTTAATTAATGGAATTTGACATTCTAAACTCTAATAAAATAGACCCGTGAAAATTAATTCACTAGAAGTCTAGAACTATGGATGTTTTTACTTGGATTGTTTTCAGTCTCAGACCAGACCAGACCAGACTTAAATAGATCAGACCAGACCAGCAAATTACATTTCAAGTAAAAACATCCTATGATTTGAAAAGCAATTTTATACAATTATATTAGTTTTTACATACATCACATTGAATAATTGGCGATATGTATATAAATATCTCTAAGTTGTGAAATACTAGTAATATTCTACGTAAATGACTAGATCAATTTGGTGACTGTAGAAAATGTTACATTTATTTCTTTATTATTGTGTGTACATAATTACCGGATAGATTAGATTAGAAGACTGGTCTATTAGATCAGATTAGAAGCTGTTGCTTATTGATAAGATTGTAGTTGGTCAGATCCTAAAAAATAGGATCTACTCTGGTAGTTTGTTACTTGTACATCCTGTATTTATACCCCAGCCGATTGGCATATTCAATCAAGGAATTTTATTCCCAAAACCTACATGGTATCAGAGCCTTGAATTTACACATCTCAAATGGTGGAATTCGAACACTCTGACTCATCTCCTTATTCACAAACCAGTAACCCTAACTCCCATATTAGCTCAATGGCAAACTATCAGGCCTCGGTTAATTCATCTATGCTCATCACTGGGCATAGATTGAATGGAAGGAATTACCTAGAGTGGTCACAGTCTGTCAAGTTAGCAATTGATGGCAAGGGCAAACTGGGATACCTAACTGGTGAAATCAAAGAGAAAAAAAATGGTGAAGATGGCTACAGTGTCTGGAGGTCAGAAAACTCACTTGTTACAGCATGGCTTCTCAGTTCAATGGATGCATCAATCGCCAAACCTCATATGTTTATGAAAACTGCAAAAGAGGTATGGGATTCCATTAAAGAAACCTATTCAGATCTTGAGAACTCTTCTCAGATTTATGAATTAAAAACAAAGCTGTGGCAGTCCAAACAAGGAAGTAGAGATATCATCTCATACTATAATGAGATGGTATCCCTATGGCAAGAGTTGGACCAATGCTATGATGCTGAAGAATGGGAGAGTGCCAAGGATCTGGCAAGACACAAGAAGAGGGAGGAAAATGATAGGGTCTATATGTTCCTAGCAGGAATTAATAGAGACCTGGATGAAGTCAAGGGAAGAATTCTTGGAAAAAAACCTCTACCTTCAATCAGGGAGGTATTTTCTGAAATCAGGGTGGAAGATAGTAGGAAAAAGGTCATGAATAACACTCCAGTACATCATGATGAACCAGGAGAGTCCTCAGCAATGATTGCCAAAGGAAATGAGAAGAAGAAGCCTTGGTGTGATCATTGCAAGAAGCTATGGCACACTCGGGAAACCTGTTGGAAGATTCATGGCAAACCACCTGGAGCAGGACAGAAAAAGGTTGAAAGGGCTCTACATACTGCCATACCTGAGACTCAACAGGAGCCACAAATCAATTCCCAGCAGCCCTCCTTCACAAAGGAACAGATAGAGCAACTCCTTAGCCTTCTAAATACTCAGAAAAATTCCAAACCTGAAACTTCCTCTTGTTCTTATGCCCAGAATGGTACCATTTCATCATTTTTCTGTTCTGGAAAACCTAAAAGTACCTGGGTCATTGACTCAGGAGCTACAGACCATATGACTTCTATTCCAAATCTTTTCTTTTCATATAAGCCCTGTGCAGGGGACAAAAAGGTCAAAGTGGCAGATGGCTCTTTTTCAGCCATTGCAGGGATGGGAAATATTAAAATTTCCTCATCTGTAAACCTCTCTAAAGTCCTACATGTCCCTAATTTATCCTGCAATCTTGCCTCTGTTAGCAAGTTAACTAAAGACTTACAATGTCGTGTTATCTTTTATCCTTCTTATTGCATTTTTCAGGACCTGGCATCGGGGAAGATGATTGGCAGTGCTAGGGAGGAAGATGGACTCTATACCTTTGATGAAGGAACTCAATCAAATAAAAGAGGTCAAAGAAATGCTTGTTTGCAAACTGTTTCCTTTTCAAACAATAAAGAGTTGTATTTACTTCACTTTAGACTAGGACATCCTAGTTTTTATTATTTAAAAAAGATGTTTCCTCAATTATTTCTGAATAAAGATGTCTCTGTGTTTCATTGTGATATATGTGCACTTGCAAAACATCACAAAAGCTCTTATATTCCCCAGAGTTATAAACCCACTAGCCCTTTTACTTTGGTACATAGTGATATTTGGGGTCCATCTAGAGTATCAACTATAAAGGGAAAGAGATGGTTTGTAACTATTATTGATGATCATACAAGAGTTACATGGGTTTTTCTAATCAAAGAAAAATCTGAAGTGGAAAAGGTATTTAAGGATTTTTATGCTATGGTCCAAACTCAATTCAATACCAACATTAAACTGGTAAGAAGTGATAATGGCCTGGAATATTTTTCTCAAAACCTAAATAACTTTTTTACTGAAAAAGGAATAATCCATCAAAGCTCTTGTGTCAATACACCAGCCCAGAATGGAATTGCAGAAAGGAAGAATAGACATTTACTTGAAGTCACTCGTGCAATCATGTTTTCAACAAAAATACCAAAATATCTGTGGGGGGAAGCTGTTTTACATGCTACTTATTTAATTAACCGCATGTCATCAAAAATTTTAGGATTTAAAAGTCCTATCAATACTTTTCAGCAGTACTTTCCTTCAAACAGATTGATAAGTACTCTTCCACTGAAAATTTTTGGTTGCACGGTGTTTATAAAAAATCCAGAAAAATCTGCAAGTAAGTTTGATCCTAGAGGAACAAAATGTGTTTTTTTAGGTGTTTCTTCCACTCAAAAAGGGTATAAATGTTTTGACCCTGCTACCAAAAAAATGTTTATTACAATGGACACTTTTTTTGTGGAAGAAAAAGCTTTTTTTGATACTCATCTTCAGGGGGAGAGATTAAGTGAAGATGTTCAAATAGTGCCACATATTCATGAAAACCTTAATTTTCTTGATATTAATCTGGATGATCATTCCTTTAATGGAAGAATATCTGAAAATGATCAAGAATTAACAACTAATGAAATAAATACAACTGAACCAATTGGAAAGGATCAACAGACAAGTCAATTCTTTGGCAAAGTTTATGAGAGAAGAGTTCAAAATCAAAGAATAGAGGAAGTCCAAGAACCTACAACAGTCTATGATTCTGACCCTATGCCAGAGAATGAAAAAGGTAATGCTTCTAGTCACCTTGATCTTCCAATTGCCCTCAGAAAAGAAAAAAGAACATGTGTTAAATACCCTATCTCAAACCATGTTTCTTATTCTAAATTATCCTCATCTTTTGCAACCTTTACTTCCAGTGTTTCTTCTATTTCTATTCCCTCAACCATACAGGATGCTCTATCTAAACCTGAGTGGAAGAAAGCTGTTTTGGAGGAGATGGAAGCTCTTGAAAAGAATCAGACATGGAAGCTTGTAGAGTTGCCCAAAAGCAAACCAACAGTTGGTTGCAGGTGGATTTTCACTCCTAAATTTAACGCAGATGGAAGTTTGGAGAGATATAAAGCAAGGTTAGTAGCTAAGGGGTACACACAGACCTATGGCATTGACTACACAGAAACCTTTGCACCAGTTGCAAAGTTGAACACTGTAAGAATCCTTTTATCTCTTGCTGCTAATTTGGACTGGCCACTGCAACAATTGGATGTAAAGAATGCTTTTTTAAATGGAAAACTTGAAGAAGAAGTATATATGAAACCTCCTCCTGGATTTGAGAATAAATTTGGTTCAAAGGTTTGCAAATTAGAGAAAGCCTTGTATGGACTTAAACAGTCACCAAGAGCTTGGTTTGATAGGTTTACAAAGTTCATAAAGAAGCAAGGGTTTAATCAGGCACAAGCAGATCATACACTCTTCATGAAGTTTTCAGGCAAGGGGGAGATTGCAATATTAATTGTCTATGTAGATGATATTATCCTCACAGGAAATTATCATACAGAGACTAAGAACTTGAAAGAAAAACTTGCCCATGAATTTGAAGTTAAGGACCTAGGAGACCTAAAATACTTTCTGGGAATGGAGATAGCTAGATCAAAGAAGGGTATTGTTGTCTCACAAAGAAAGTATATCTTAGATCTTCTGCAGGAAACTGGAATGAGTGCATGCAAACCAGCAGACACCCCAATTGACCCCAGTCAGAAGTTGGGAGATATTAAGGAAGGAACTCCGGTTGATATTCACCAATATCAAAGACTGGTGGGGAGATTAATATATCTGGCACATACAAGGCCAGATATTGCATTTGCAGTAAGTATGGTGAGTCAGTTTATGCATCATCCTTTCTAAGAACATCTTGATGCTACTTACAGGATTCTAAGGTACCTGAAGAGCTGTCCAGGGAAAGGATTGTTTTTCAAAAAGGGGAACAGTAGGAGGGTTGAAGCCTTTACTGATGCAGATTATGCTGGCTCAATTACTGATAGAAGGTCTACTTCTGGATATTGCACTTATGTATGGGGAAATCTAGTAACTTGGAGAAGTAAGAAACAAAATGTAGTTGCTAGAAGTAGTGCAGAATCAGAATTTTGATCTATGGCAAATGGAATATGTGAATTACTCTGGATCAAGAGAGTAATTACA